GGGGGAGGGGGAGGGGAGCATTAACACATCCTGCCAATGCACCCTTTGCAAAAAGCGTGCCCTCCACTGTGCTTCAGGTCTTGTGGTTTGCTCATTTTCTCTCACCGGCTTCGTCGTTTACCTTATTATTTCCTGGGCTGAGTGCCTAACCCCTTTATGTTTACTGGTTCTCTTTAATCAACAAAAGTAGTTACAAGTAGTTACGGTTATAAAATGTCCTCCCGTTAAGGTCAGAATGAACGAATGTGTGTTTTGGAAGACCCGAGAACAAAACCAGCTGGCGGATGGGATGGATTCCATGATCTACTCCTCTGCCTACCTTGTCGCCGATGTTGTAAGCAGGTGGAGTGGTCAGCCTTACATCCGTCGCGTTGACGTGAGGGGAGTCTTCAATAGGTGGCTTTGGCACTAGCTCCCTGTTGGTCTCTATCTGGCTTTCGATTAATTTGATAATCGCATCTGCCCTTTCTTTGGCCATGGGCTTTCCATGCCAATTTTCTGCCCCCTCAGTGTCTGCAACAAAATGAGAAATAGTCATTCGTAAAAAAAAAAGAAAAAACAAACCAACAACCAAAACTTCAAGAGTGCCTGCTGGGTCGTCATAAGGTATCAGCCTGGAACTCAGGAGTAAAATCCTGTCAAACAGGGCCTAGGGTGGCCCTGAGAGCAGAGAGAACAACTGGAGGGGCCGCTGGCTTGCGTGCTGGCAACTGGAGGGAGAGGGAGAAGGGTCGACGGGGAGAGGCAGCCGGAAGCTGATCAGGCAGATGCGGAGGGTATGAGAAAGGGTTGAGGCTTTCTCCAAAGCATGGTGAGAAACCTCTGTCAGTGTGCCTTTGAAAACTTCCCCAGCACAGCAGTGTGGCGAAGGGAAGTGGCAGAACCGCCTGGAACGCTGCTCTAGTGAGGGAGGGTGCGGCTGGAGTGGGTGGTACTGTCCTTTCCTGAACTGAGTGATGATATGCCTGGGGAGTCCGAGTCGCCTCTTTTGCTGTGCGGATGACTATTTTTCAGAACCCGAGTCATTCCAACCCTCGCTTACTTGGAATGCCCCGGCCCTTGAAGGTCTTGGCCACCACAGCTGTGGGCTTGCTCTTCACCTGAGCTGCTTGCCAAAATGCCTGGCACAGCGCCTCCACGTCATGGCCATCTACCACGTAGGTATTCCACCTGTTGCTCGGAGGAGGAGAGATGAAGGGGTGGGACGGGGGTGGGAAAGAATGTGAGAGTGTGCGTGTGAGAGTGTGTGCACACGCACGCACGCGCGCACGCCGGTACACACTCACCCAAAGGCCTCGCAGCGCTTCTGGTAGATAGCCAAGCACTGCTCCAGGGGCAGAGCACTGCTCTGGCCCAAGCGGTTCACACTGAAGATCGCCACGAGGTTGTCCAGGTTGTAGTGGGCAGCAAAGGCCAAGGCCTCCCAGACGGCACCTTCCGAGGACTCACCTGCTCCCAGCAGGCAGAAGACCCGGTAGCTGCGGCAAGCCAAGAGAAAGTGAGCAACCTGCGCCGGCCAGAAACGGACGGACAGACAAACGGAAGAAGCGGCTCCCAAGTCAACTCTGATCAAGGGCACCATCGAGGAAAACAGCTTTAAGGCCTGCTACGTGGCGGATGGGCTTCGCCACCGGGCGGTTTCCCAGTCCTGCCCGACAACTACCGGCTGTTCCTGAGCCAATTGTTAAAGGCTGTTTTCGAGATATCCCGCCCCTTCTCTACGTTCAGAAACCAAGATGGGAATAGGAAGCAAGTAGCTCCCTTCGACACCAAAACCACCACCACCACTTGTGGCACGAGAGAGTTCACAGAACCTGAGGCCGCCTTCCCCTGCTGATTTTAGCCGTAGATTTATGCCAAGTGGAGCGGACAAACCCCCACCCTTGAGCAGCACGCGTTCCGATGTCAACACTAAACTCCTCCACACCGAAACAGCGAGTAAAACGTTCATGCCTGGAAAACACCACCCAGTTCCTGCTAACACGCTGCAAATGAAGATTTGTAAAAAGTAATTCACCGTTCAAAAGCCATGCCTACACACAGGCATACTAATGAGAGTAAATAAGTACCAAACAAAAAAAGGAAATGAAATGCTAAAAAAAAAAAAAAAAAAGAAAGAAAATAAGAAAAGTAATTCACCACGAGGACGGACTTGGGGAAACGGAGAGCAGGGCGTCTAGGGGCTGACCCCACAGTGGAGGGAGCTGGACGAGGGGCAGTGTGAGGCCGACCTGAGGTTGGGAAGGGAGGACCGGCCATCGACTGATTCCCCCACACCCCCTAAGGGCCGCTGAACAGAAGCTGGATATTCTGACTCTCAGACTGGGGTTCTGTGTCTGCAGTACCTGCTGCCCCTCACAGAACCAGATGAGGGCAACAAAACCAGAGCAGGTGCCACCCAGCCCACTGCGAAGGCGGGGTTCCGATAAGCGAGGTGAGGCGCTCGGGCTGGGTCCCCAGGCGCAGGCCTGGGGCTGGAGTCAATGCCCAAAGCCCCTGAGGAAACAGACTACAAGTCTTCCCAAGCAGCGGCTGGGCCCCTGGGGGCTCCTCTGACCCCATGGCGCGTGGTGCCTGCTCCTCACCCTGGGCTGGAGGACAGAGGCTTCCTCCCGGAGAAGCAGAACCTGAGGTGCTCTGGACTCCCCTGACGGTTGGTTGAGGGAAAAGCGCAGGACTGCAACATCCATCACTACCACCGGCTCCGCCGGGCCCCTCCCGCCCCTGCCAGGTGCCGCCAGCAGCAGCCGCCGCCGCCAGGACGCACCTCCAGAACAGCAGATCTTCCCATAAAGGACGCCCCCTTCCTTATGGACAAGGGTACAAGAGAGCGGGACTCGAGAGCAGGGTGCTTACCTGGCCTTGTCAAAGTACTTGCCGGTATAAGCCATCCCACATGCAGCGCCTAGTCCCTCCTCCATCCGGCCTGATGCCACTTCGCCAAAGGTCAACAGTCTCTGTAAGAGAGCAGCCAGCCAAGGCGGCTCTGGGCCCAGCTGCAGGACACGGGCACTGGGCCACCTCCAGGCTCAAGCCCTCCTCATCTGTGGGTGTTCCTGACCCTCGGAACCACCCTC